ATTATTTGGTGCAGGCACGAAACATACGACCTAAATACATTGCTTCTAAAATCGTTCTGTATCAGAATACAATTTTTTTTTTTTTGTATCTCTTTTAAAATCGTTCTGTGTGACACGAAAAAAATGCGAAAATCGTGTTGGTGAACACGAATCAATAGATTCAATTAATTTTGTGACTATAACACGAAATGCCGTCAGACAGGGTTGGACACACACATACGAACAAACGCTGACAAAAAAGGCTTCCTGAAAATAATTGTAACTTCCATGTCTTTAGTCTTGTAGCAATTGAAATATGGTCGCCTTTTCCTGCTTACGCTTCACTTTTATTAAAACGAGGACACATTTTCAGCATCATGCAGTGTCCCTTCTTTTGAAATAGCAACATTTCTGCCCTTAATTGAGGAGACATGATTAAGCACAACAAGACCCGACCAGACAAAAAGACGTGGTGCAGGCACGAAACATGCTACCAATAGAAATACATTGCTTTTAAAATCGTTCTGTGTGACACGAAAAAAATGCGAAAATCGTGTTGGTGAACACGAATCAATAGATTCAATTAATTTTGTGACTATAACACGAAATGCCGTCAGACAGGGTTGGACACACACATACGAACAAACGCTGACAAAAAAGGCTTCCTGAAAATAATTGTAACTTCCATGTCTTTAGTCTTGTAGCAATTGAAATATGGTCGCCTTTTCCTGCTTACGCTTCACTTTTATTAAAACGAGGACACATTTTCAGCATCATGCAGTGTCCCTTCTTTTGAAATAGCAACATTTCTGCCCTTAATTGAGGAGACATGATTAAGCACAACCTATAGGTGCACGGAAATAGAAGGAGGAAAACCTATGCTCTGTGTTCGTACGTGCATGTGTGTGCGTGCTAACTGCTCGCTCAGTGAGTCATCCTTTGCTGGTGCCACCTGCGTCATCATGCCGCTCTCATCCTGGCGAATAAGACTTAAGGCAGAGACAGAGAGAATGGAGCAAGGCGTCTGAAGTCTGCTGCAGCGCAATGAAACTGAAATGACAAAACAATGGGAAGGAGTTATTTTGTGTAGGAGAGTGTGTGTGTCTCGGTTCCCTTGGATACCTCACTCGAAAAAACAACTGCAGGAGCTTGCTGGATTGAAGCGATACATTGAATTTCTAAGAAAATGCGCAGGAATACAACAATAAGGGGATTAGAGGAACATTTTAAAAGCATCCACATCACTGGTTTCAATCCTGTATGCTGACTTTCCTTTGTGCATTATTTTGAAAAGCAACTAGCATCATCTCCAAAGGGAGATTAATGAATATTCATAAATGGACCTATTTATTTTTCAATGTTCCTGAAAATGGTTAAAATGTCTCTATTGGGGATGGAACCCTAAACATTCTTACTTTTCAAAATCTTGTGGATTATCTTTCAGTATTTAGTTTTAACCAATAGGTTTTATGTGTTGTGTTTCACTAACCATCTTCCACTTTCCTGTATAAGTCGCTTGCATTTGCTTCTCTGCTTAGAACAAGCATGCGTTAACACAATACCACTGACTGTCCTGTGTAATACTCTGTTGCATGTGCTCTGTCCACCCTTCCAGTGTTGTTCTGTGCTTGATCAGTTTTGGTTAATGCCGTTTATGGAAGCGCTCTATTGTTATTCAGTCAGTTTGTATCGTTTGATACAAATCTAGCATAGATTTTTATAATAATTAAAACATTTCAGTTTAGAATATGTCCAGTTACAGTAGCTGCACCATTTTTGAACCTCAATGAATTAGTGACATAATGTCCCAAAAAACATTTTTAATACTGATAATCCCTGAACTCATATGCAGGAGGAATTTTTGGATTTGAATGACAGAACCTCTTCCATACGTACAGAGCAAGGCTACTCTGTTTCCTGTTAACTTAAGCTGCCAGCTGACCTGCTCTTCTCTGCTGCTCTTGTCTGTCTGCCTCTGTCATGCTCTTCTTACTTTATTTCTGTCTTTCTTTCTGTCTTTCTTTCTTTCTTTCCTTCTTTTCCCTTCTATCTCCTCACTTTCCTGCTTGTCTGTGTGTCTGCCTGCTTGTCTTTAGGTTCAGATAGTGCACAAAAAGCTGGACTTCAGCCATATCACGTCTCGCTGTGGCTCCAAGGACAATATCAAACATGTCCCTGGAGGTGGCAAAGTAAGTACTGCTGGAGCTGACGGGAGACTCTGCTTAGGGTGGATGCATATCACATTTTTTGCTATTTTAGCTTCCTGGTCAAATGTATGATCAATCCCATTTTTATCCTGACAACAAAAAGATCTGATCAGGATTTTTTTGTTATTTTATATGTAAATTAGAATCACCCTGGCTGAATGCATATTATATATTTTAAACCTAATTGCCTGTGTTTGCATCTTTATTTCACTCAAAGTGAATTGGCCATGAGTCCTTCTGCCCACCCTTCCAGATGTTGCTCCCATCTGCTCCAAACACCTGCTGCACTATCATAATCCATCTCTGGG